TCCAGGTCAGCAGAACATCGTCAAAACATGGTGTAGCAAGACTGCAAAACTGGGCAGATGTTTACAATGAGAAGTATAATTGCTCTTTGTAAAAACAGGAGCATCAGTGGGTCAAGTGACTTGAAATTATGGTAAGATACAAGAAAGACACACTGGCATAAAGGCATAAATAGCTGCCAGCAGTCTCAGATGTCTGAGGTTCTGTTGGTGGCAGAGTAGGTAGAGTTTTACTTCTAAAACATTTGTATGCACAATTTTAACTACCCTAGAATTTTATTTGTCCTGATATTTGACCTACGATTGGTAAAAAGAAAAGTTTGACTCATTTATGGGTATGAGAGAAAAATTATCCCAGTCTGTGTTGCAGCATGTTAGGGTGTCATATTGTCCCTTTCAGTAATGTAGATTTAAAAAGATAGCCCAATTAGTTGTTAAGAAGCAGCATAGACTGTGAGACAGTTTTTCAATGGGAAATTTGTCCCATTGTTTGGATCTGTCGAGGGATTAAATACAGTCAATTGTCGACAGCTGCACCATTAACATCACAAGAAATTATATATTTCCACGGACACCAATAAATGATAACCTCAGAAAATGTAATTTCTTGATCCATAACTGGGCTAAAAGCTGCTGGCATCTTTTGACCTGCAATCTGCAGTGAATTATTGTGGCACATTTCCATGTAAAGCTTAATTGTTTTGACCTAACCTACGTTATCTTGTGTTTGTTCCAATTTAATTGATAGAAGCACCTTTAGAAAAAAAGTATATAATTCTATATAATAAATCTGTGTTCGTTGACCATCCCCATTAGGCCTAATTCACACTGCGTTAATACCCGTATTGGGCCATTTCTGTTCTGTTCTTTCCTATGGGAGGATGCGGCCATACGCACACCCGAACTGCACATCCGTGCGGGTCCGGGTGTCCTGTACTCGGACCCACACGGATGTGCAGTTCTGGTGTGCGCATGACAGTGTACGGCTGTGTCCTCCCATAGGGAAGAACAGGCTGCTGCGTGCAAACACACGTAGCACCTGTCCCTCCTGGGAACGGTCTGACACGGGTGTACATGCCGCAAGGACGTGTACGGCCCGACTTAACGCAGTGTGACTGAGGCCTTATGGTACTGAATTCAAGCCTGTCCACAAAACACTCTCCCTTCTTCAACCCTTTGTAACCACCTATTAGGGTGCCCCTCTGTTAAGCAGTGATTAACATATCTCGAAGGGCATTTACCCTTGTGCAGTGCTGGGAGTGACTAACTTCACAAAACAGATAAAACAGATAAGGTTCAAATATGTGGTCTTAGAACATGATTTTGTTAGCTGGGGTGAGCAAGGTAGCGAGTGGTTCCAGCAATGGCCCAGGAACCCTTGGGGATATCATTACTACTCCACTGACCTTTGTCCAGTACTTTCCAAAAAAAGAAGGACATTGTATATTTATTGTATATTATTGCCTCAATACCTTCATAGTTACAATTTGAAATAGGCAGAGATGATCTTAAATAGTGATAAGAGCAATGACATATCCCAGTAACCCCTAGTAACGAATTCTGTGGTCGAACAATTAAATATTGTTTCCAATTGGTTGTTCATGGGTACATCAGTTTTTATGTTGCTCTTTGCCTACACAAAGAAGCCCAGGTAATTCCTGAGAATATAAATATTTAAACCATGCTACAGCTTTTCTACATCTCCTAAAGGGATTTGTCAGGATACAAATTTGACATTTATCACTGTTAACTTGTTTTTGAAGGACAAGATCCAGGGCAGACATTCTACTATAGTAATCCACTGACTCAGAACAGCCATGTTCCTGTTAGATGCACGTGTGTGAAAAATTATAAAGATTATAAATTCAGAGCTTGCAGCTTCAAAAACAGGCCAGCATTGGCAATTCCCATATTTTTGTCCTCACAGATTCCCTTTAATTGTGCATGTTTTTAATTCTACATATGACTTAGTCAGGTATTTATAGACTTTTAATTTGGGGTTTTCCCATTGCAGTTTCTTTTCACAGACCTATAAAATTATAAATTTAATTTATTTAGTTCATTCAAAATAATACTCATTATTTCATCAATTTATAAATACCCCCTCCCCACCTCAAGTGGTACATCTGCCCATTCAGGACTATATAGCTTATAAATCTACCACACAATACACTAGCAAGAATGTACCCATGAGGTTCATAGAACACAGAGGGTATCATTATTCAAAGAAAATGCTGGTACCCATAACAATCAGGAGCCAGCTTCCATCTTATACCCTGTACTAGACAAAATGGCAGCTGACATATCAATGGTTGTTATTGGCAGCACTTCCACAGTTTTGCACTAATTTTGATATATTATCCCCTGTGGATAATAAAATGAAAGCATTTAATGTCACCTTAGAAACAGTGGCTGAAAACTAAAAACAAATATATTAATACAGAGGTACGGGCAAGAAAGAATAGAAACATAACCTATCCATGCAAAATATATCTCCTTTGGTTTACATAATATCTTGATATGTGACAAAATGCATTTCACCTAGCTGAAAAGTAGTTTGATAAAGGCTTCCTTCTGGAATTGAAAGAATAAATAAAATATGGCTCCCTAGCTTGCCATTGCATCGAGTGTACTCTAGATGTGGATTAATCAAGCATTAATTCTAATTTGACTAATCCAAGCATCCTTAAAATATGTTCTTTCCCTTTTCCCTGTTTGATTCATGTTGCCATTTACCTTCAATGTGTCGTTTATACTGTTCTACAAGTACAGTTCCTCTTGTGATTGCTATGTCTGCTAAATTAAAGTGCACGCATTTTCATCTTTATCATAAGCTTTTGCAGTTGATCTTGGGTTTTATGCTTCATTATCATTGTTCCTTTCATAATCCAACTCCGCTGCCAAAAATAAATCATCATGTGCCCAGTTTGTTTAATTCAGTTGTCCTTTCTTTTTTTTTTCATTTTTGAAGTGTTTCACTTGTAAAAGGGTCCAGGCAGAAGATATCTTCAGGATTTATATAACTTCCATGTTGACACCAATAATATGTTACTCAGAGGAGGTCACATGGCAGAGATCTCAATGTCAACATTACAGAACCAAAAGTCACTGGTCTACTGCAGCATGAACTTAAGGAGCTTTAGAGGTGTCTGTTTGTTCTGTATATCTTTCTGTAATTGTATACTGTTCCACCCAAATATTTCTTACATTCCTGAATTGTTATTAGGGTGTTGGTAAGGCTTTCGCTGACTCTGGCACCAAGTGTTTCCAAGAAGTGGACAGCAGGAAGTACTATAGGAGAAAAGGAAGTAGGATCATATCCATGATGGTCTTCTTAGGTCATACTGGTTTGTCAAAAGGCCTTGGGAACGGTGTGCCACTAGAGGAGGATATTTTCCTGCAGACAGTGTTGGTATGATTCTCACAGCGACAGCCTGGTCTTTTTACTTTGTCATAGCCTTTCTGGCAGAGTGTCAGGCATCCTTTCAGAGGAGGATAGCAGCATAGACAGGGCATGAAGAAAGAAAGGAAGCTCATGAATGCCCATCGAGCACAGCAGGATCCCTGGCTGCAAGTGCAGGGGTTGTCAGCACAGTTGTCCTCATCATCAGAAGAGCAGTGGTAGAAGAGGCCTTTGATACAACAAAGGCAAGTTCCATACTCAATGACATTTTTGGCTGAGCACAAACAGCGCTGGTTACAAATCCAACAAGAAGGAAGTTTCCGAACTTGTGTGCATTCATCACAAATACAACGCCCGCACTCCTCACAGATGAAATTGTGACCCATGTAGCTATCTGACCTCTCCATTATCCCTTTAATGAACTGGTCTTGCTTCAGGTCACCATCCTTAGGCTGTGTCCTCATAAGTGATTGCCCTGAATTGGATGGAGTAATTCCAGTTAGCAGTCTCTGGTCTGACGCTGTGGTACTCCGAGAAACTGAGCTTATTGTACTGGAATGACTTAGATCTTGGATAATATGTTGTGATTGGTGTTGATGGCTTTGGCTGCGATGTAGATCCTGGTGATTATAGGTCACCAGGTGGTCATTAGACCACTCTTGCTTTGCAGCATGTTGAGAAAGGGAAGGATTAGACCAAGTCTGCATGAACGATATAGCTGGTCGCTCCACATAATCATTGTTGGCCCTGATCGAACGAATTTGGTCAATGGAAAGAACCTGCTGGATGTCTCCAGTTGAAATATCCATGGCCTTGCCGTCCCCTTTCTTATGTATGTAATGACAGTCACTCTTTGGATAGTAATATATTTCAAGTGGTATCTTCCATCAAGGTACATCAGAAGATCCTGAAAAATACAAAATATATTTGTAATCTATCTATGTAATAGATAAAATATATAGGAGAATATTATTGTGTTATGATATGTAGCAGAATGAAACAATACATTTCATAATTATTAAGCTTTATTTTTTTACGATACTTTCTGGAAAATAAACACTTATATCATAAACTTTAATTAATAAGCTCAAATTATAATAAATGTCATATTGTATTTAAAGATTTTACTGTATAAACGTGTCCTGCATTATACTTCTTTTTCCATCTCATAGGTTTGCAAAGCAGAAAGCAATAGTTATTTGTCAGGAAGAATGCTTCCACAGGAATCTGGAGGAGTGGTTTAGATCTTTCGATAAAGATATTGAGAACTATTTAGAAATATACAAGGGTTCTCCCTACTTTACCATCAACATGAAAAGAGGCATTCAAACTAGCATAATTAAAGCTCATCTTTTCCTTTAGGTATAGCTAAAATGAAATAATTTTTTTTTATTATTTTGTCTGATACACAATGTGTACAAGCTGGTGTCAATAAAAGGTTTTTGAAACGGTTGGAAGTGGAAAGTTAATGCAGAACAGGGTTTTTTAATTCCAAAAGTGCATCCAAAAATACTCAGATAAATCTTGCAATTAACCACCAATTTCACTCCATCTACACTTTCACCAGAATCACTAGTACCATTAGCAAGGTAGGAAATCTCTACAAAGTAAGCAATATTTCCCCATTAGACAGCTGTAGCTGGAAAAGTGTCCCCATTGAATGATTTAATGATTTACCCTCACTTCTTGTTCTGGTGACAGCTGTAAAATGTTTCTGTCTAGGTGACAATATCCATCAGAAGTAGAGAGGGTAAGTCTCCCTTAGCACAACTCTTCCCCACTTTATCCAAAACTTTTTTTTTTTTATATACATACACTTTAGGAGTTAAAAAACTTTGGGGTGTGGCACTCTGCATGATCAGCCGTGAAGGTTGAAGGACCTTTTCCTCTTTCTCAAAGCATAAATATGGTTCCTCAGTTTCTATATTTGGCTCCATAACAGAACCTGGAAAACTATGTAACATTTTGTGAAAAGCTGTGTAACTTGTGGATAAACATAGCTTACCTAGAGATTAGGGCACTGAGAGCTCTGTGCCACCAGCCTCCAGCTACATAATATTTTCTTAATACTAGCCCTGAATATAATGCGTATTAAAAAGCACTCAGTGAAAGTTTTAACTTAACTCCGACCACAAGGGAAACACATGACCTTATCTACACTGCAAACTGCTTGGAGAAAACCACTTTATTTCTTATTATCCTGCCTGTAATTGCTTTTCCAGGCATCGCTCCCCAGAGATTCCTGCAGGAGACACTAGTGGAGAAAGTGAAGTGTCATACTACCATTTACATGATGCTGTCTAATGCACAGGTTGAATAATCTTGTCTGCATATCTAAATTAATATGATATATTTTCATATCCATCAGATTCTATGAGGATGCATCACAAACAATTTCACTTTTAAAAAACAGACATATGTCCTAAGCCTCCCTTTCAGATGAGATATTTGTTTCAATGTATCAGCTCAGCTTTTGTCTTAAACAAAATATATCTCAACAAAAATATTCTAAAGAGTAAAAAGGGGGTTATATAATATCAATTTTATGAAATTGTTCAAAGCACATTTTATTTGAACTAAAATACATCCCTTAAAAATCTCTAACAGATTAAAGTGTTTTTTTTTTATAATGCAATGTCCATGGGGTATATGTAAAAGAGGCATGTACTAAAACAAAACAGGAGCTGCCAGTGTTGACCTTTTTCTGAAAATGGTAGTTCCCCGCCTCTTAGGTTTTAATACTTTCTGAGCCACTTAGAGCTGCAGCTAACGATTATTTTCAAAATCGATTAGTTAGCCAATTATTAAGTTCGATTAATCGGTTAATCGGATAAAAAATGAAATAAAATACATTTTTTTAAATGGCTCCAGTGCTGGGACTACTAGTTTGTATTGAGGTTGTAGTCCATCACAGGAGCAATCTTGGAGCGGTGGAAGTAAAAAAGAAAAAAAAAAGTGTGGTGTGCAATATAGTGAAATGAAAAGTGTAAAATTATACAGCAATGAATGCAGAATCGCACCAGCTATAGAGGACTACAAATCCCAGCAATAGTACATTATAGCTGGCGATATTCTGCATTGTGCTGTATAATGTACTATTGCTGGGTTTTGTAGTCCTCTATAGCTAGTGGTATTCGGCATTGCACCACTGTATAATGTACTATTGCTGGGATTTGTTGTACTCCTCTATAGCTGGTGGAATTCCGCATTGCGCTATATAATGTATTATTGCTGGGATTTGTAGTCCTCTATACAGCGCAATGCAGAATACCACCAGCTATATAGGAATACAACAAATCCCAGCAATACATTATACATACAGTGTACAATGTATTGCTGGGATATGTATTCCTCTATAGCTGATGGTATATTGTTCTGTATAATATACAGAGCAATATACCATCAGCTATAGAGGAATACAAATCCCAGCAATACATTATAGAGCACCATGTATGGGAAAGTGCAGGCTTACCTGAGCAGTCTTCCAGCAACTTGCTTCTGAGTTCGGACCAGTCTATCGGCGGCTGTAATCCCCCCCCCACCTGCTCCTCCCTACTTCTTCTCCCTGCATCCCTGTGCCGATCGTTGATGTGGGCTGGCGGTGAGGAGGTGCGGCGTGTGGAGCATGGATGAGGGTGGGCAGATCTGGCAGCGGCGAGTGTGAGGTGGGGAGGAGGTGCGGCGCACAGCATGTGTGGAGCCGTGAACAGGGCCAACTAATCGGAAGCCGATTAATCGATGATTGAAAAAGTTGACAACTTTTTCAATAATCGATTATAATCGATTATGTCGATTAGTTGTTGCAGCCCTAGCGCCACTGACCCAAGATAAGTATGAAGCATGTAAAGTCAGACTGAAATTAAACTCCTAACATGAACACTTGTTCTGGTGTAGTGAGACACCATGGATTAAAGCCTTTGGATTAGCATAAGAGTACTGCAACTAGCATTTACAGAAGGAGACAACTACTTATATATGACTATACTGTATAGGTGACTTGTAGTTAGGCAACAGATAAGTGGTGAACATAGATTACAAATGTTTTTTCCCGGTCTTAAATGCATCCTGGTGACCAGGAGTTGCTCAACCCAGATGTACAATATATACTTGAATTAGTCTGTGTTATCAATGTTTAAATAGTTTCTATGCCAGGGTTGGACAAGTCCCAGGAGCCAGGTAGCCAATGCTCATGAAAAACTATAGGTGGCACCTAACGTTTGAGGTTTTCTATAGTTGTCAATCGAGCTGTCCCCTAAAAAGTCTATAATGATCTATTATCAATTATATGATGAGTTACCATTTTTAAAATGCAAAGTGCCTGGACAGGTAAGAAAACTAGGGCTGCAACAACTAATCGACATAATCGATTATAATCGATTATTGAAAAAGTTGTCAACTTTTTCAATAATCGATTAATCGGCTTCTGATTCTTTGGCCCTGTTCACGGCTCCACACACGCTGCGCGCCACACCTCCTCCCCACCTCACGCTCGCCGCTGCCAGACCTGCCCGCATCCACGCTCCGCACCTCCTCCGTGCCTCACACTCAAACCATGCATAATCACTATTCTTTTCCTCAGGATAAGGCACTAAGTCATTCTATGACATGTTAGGAGTCTCTGTTCTTCTCATGTGTAATTGATTTTATAGATCAATAATAAAATGCACTTTTGCAATATGACAGTGTACCACTATCTACTTTTTCTGCAACACCATGCCTTTCCAGTTCAAGGCAGATGCTGGCATAATAGACATCATGTGATCAGGATGCACGTTTGATAGTTTACTATATCTAGTGACCCATGTCACACTGGCAATTTTGTAGCAGGGATCTGTAGCAGCTACAGAGATGTTCTTCTCATCATTTTTGTTGCTAGTAAAAAAAAAAAAATGCAATCCAAGAAAGGTTTATGTCACTGAAATTTCGACCGATTTATACCTGAATCACTCAACAATATACTTTTGGCAGCATTTGGAACTAGCAACAGAATTCTGAAGAAGTTCTGAACAGTTTTTATGAATGAAGGATTCTGAACAGTTTTTATGAATGAATGAATGAATCAGGAAGTGGGAGTTGGGTTGTGAATCTCCCATGATTCCACTCAAGTTCTGCTTTATTAAATGAGTCACATGGATTCATTCAGTAATTGCTTAGATATGTCATAAAGTTTTAAACCTAAAGAATGTTGTGATCCCAAAGATTAACCTTGCTTTTTTGTGGTAGAGGAACATTAACGCAAGAAGACCCTTGAATTGCTTTTTAATTATTTATTTATTTTTATGACTAGTGAAGGAAGTGTTTATTTTTTCTTTAACCAATGTCAGTGTCTTTATTTGTAATTTTTCATGGAAATGGTGGTCAGTTTGCCAAATGTATAAATCATTACAGCAAATAAAATGACAGCACATGAAGGTTGTTTCTCCCACCCACCAATCAGTTTTCAGCTGCTATTTTGCAGAAAATATAAAAAATTGCATGATCTATTTAAAGATCATTTCTTACAGTCTTCAGATTAAATACACAATTAAATTAAGAAACAAGTTTTCTAATTTCCTGTACCTGATATTGGAAATCAACACAGGCCAGTGTAAAATTGATTCAGTTGTTAAACCAGCCCTGTGATTGGCTGCCAGGGACATAACTTGTATTTTTCCTTTGCTACAGTTTTTATAAATAAGCTCTATTGTGTGTCTTTGATTCTGGGACAGCCCATCACTCTGTGTTAATGACTCAGATTTGCCTATAAGCATGATTTCAATGTCAGAGGGGTCATTGATTCTAATCTCTCTTCTGTCACTACATCCTATAAGTTTGGACAACAGATATGTTCCTAAGAGCAGCACTTTGGGCGCAGTGATGAGAGAGGATGAAATTAACACGTTGCTGTGGAACAGCTTACATAAAAAT